AAACGTCCCACACTACCACATTTTCTCGAAATGGGTATGGAATAAACGTCCCACACTGTACCTAACCTAAAACTATTAGTTGCAAACATCTGGCATGCTGTAATTAAGAGCGCTATAAATCACTTGCCGTCAGATCCAGGACTGGAGGTCAAGGTGACGAACAAGACAAAATTAAGTGGAAAATTCAATTAGTTTCAGTTAGCCTGCGACGTCTGATACCTATCTAATGAACAGAAACTTAATTATATTGAAAATTGTAAGTTATTCAAGCAAAAAAAGATTTCCAAACATATATTAAGTTCACTAAAAGTTCCCTATGTAATTCTTGTTAATTGTATCGTAGAAAAATATAAAATAAGTGATCCTATAACTTAACTTTGACTTGACTTAAAGTCCTATGTCGCCGTAGTGGGGCAGAGGGCGTCCAAGGTACGCCGCCATTTCGCTCTATCTTGGGCTCGCCGTTGGTCTCGGGCCATGTCAGTCCAATTGCCTATAGATCCTATAAGGGGTCCGTTTTTTTTTCATTTCGAGGTACGGAACCCTAAAAACTTTTGCAGAAACGTAATACTAATTCAGGTTGGTATATAATATTAGTAAAAAAACACGTTTTATGGCATCTATTTATTGAAATTCGTAATATTATTAAGTATTTTATAGTCTCGAAGAAATAATTATTACCAAGTAATAACATGAAACAATTGTTAGAGCAAGTTATCATAGAGACATCGAAATTAAATATTGATTCAGATTATTTAACCGTTGGCTTCCATTGTCTATGTTTTCATATTAAGTATGTTAAAAAAATCATAAAACAATAATCAATTGTTCAGTGGAATTCGATGGTTACTTTAAAAATCTATTTCAAAGGTTACCTTTTTTTTGTATCAGAAGGGAGCAAATGAGCAGCGGGAACACCGAGGTATTCATCGACGCCCATGGACATCAGCAATACCAGAGGAAGCGCAGATGCGTTGCCAGCCTTTGAGATGTTGATAAGCTAGCTTCTTGAAGGACCCTAAGTCGTAGCGGTTTGGAAATACCGCCGAGAACAGATTCCACAACGCTGCTGTACGAGGCAGGAAGTTTCGCGCAAACCGCACGGTTGTGGATTGCCAGCCATCGAGATGGTGTGGATGGAACCTGGCGGTCTGTCTTGTGTTTGATTGCACAATAAATAAAATCTACTATTGCAATATATTACGTTATTTTTTTTGCTAAAACATTTCTACATAAACAAAAAGTTGTTCATCTCATTCTGTTTGAAAAAAACAAAACAACAATATTTTCCAAAATTCAGATATTCCTGAGGGCCTATAGATATATGAAAAATTAAAAAAAACATGACAAGACAGCACAAAACAAATGCTTGTAGGATGTATTGACATATGGGCGCTAGTGAGCCGACATAATTAAGTTCAATTTATGACCGGGTCGGATAACTTTGTCGGTGTTAGGTACATCATGTAATTACAAATGTAATTCAAAAAACTCCCATGAGAACTTGCTCTAAATAAACTTTTCAGCGATAACAGAGTACTAATAGTATAATTAAATAATTTATTATCGTAAATTTAATACTATATTCTAAAATAAAAATTTACAATCGTGGCGATTTTTTTATTATATTTGAGGTAATTTTACGTGCATTTAGACGGAAAAGCTTTGCAAATTTTTTTTAATATTCTTCGAAATGTTTACAGAGTAATTCTTTACTAAAAGCAAATTTTTAAATTCATAACTACATAACTTGCAATATATTTGGATGCGTAGAGTTTTAAAATAATACCAAATTGTAAGTATATTTTTAAAAAAAGGGAAAATATATTCAAGATCAATTATTAAAAAAAATTAATATAGAAAAAATTTAAACTCTGATAATAATTCTTCATCATGAACTTGTAAAGACTTTCTTATTAAAAAGTTAAACATAGAAATTATATCTAAAATGTGTTCTATAATTTTTAAATAAAACTTTCGTGAGACATTATACTAAACTGATATATAAACACGGCTAAACACACACGTATATTCGTCCGGTGGCGGCACCGACTAGTTTTTCGTCCGTAGTTCAGTGAGCTGGGGGCCGCGTCCGCGAAATAATACCGGACGTATATACGTGAGTGTTTAGCCGTGTTTTTATATCAGTTTAAGATATTGTCATAACTAAGAATCGTCTAAATGCACTTTAACAATAAATAACAATTTTAAACTTCTTATAATGTAAAGAATATTACTTAAAAATAATATTCAATGCTTACGAATAAGAATCTTATAGTGACGCAAAATTATATTTTAAAAAACGTTGGATTCAATAATACTAGATAATTTAAAGGTACGATTACACTACACATCGTGTCACTGACCTCTGTAAATGGACTGGCTATAAGATGAAGTAATTTGTGCCTATTTCATTTACGCCATTTTGCAGCTTATGGTAGAGTTTGTAGTAGTGGTGAGGACTCGAGGAACATAGATAGTATTTTACTATCACGTAACACCGACAAGCGCGTTCAAATCGTAACGAAGCGAAGGTTGTCACTTCCAAGCAATCGCCTATCCATTTATAGAAAATAGTGATCCGTATAAACCATGAGTGTCTTTGATTGCTTTATTACAACACAATAATTAGTGTCGGATCAGCCGTTACGTAAAAACCCGTCCAAGTGTAAACAGTACAGTCAGCTGCAAAAATATGAAAACATTAATAAAACTTTACAAACTGATAAGTAGCTTCGGTTTTTAAAATACTTATGAACGTATTCGTCATTATCATGTTTTTATCGAAAGAATACGGACGGATACGGGCATATATATTTTTATAACCAAATCTAATTACAAGTTTGTAAAGCTTCGTATAGATACTTATGCTAGCTGACTGTACTTATATTAGTGTCGGATATTTTAGTCGGTATTTTTGTCTTAGTGTAATCGTACCTTAAGTCAAATATAAATAAACAGCAACATGTAAAATTACAACAGAACAATTTCTTACATCGAGGAAGGCAAAATCACAATGTGTGCGTTAATTATCGTCTTAGCTCGACCATGCAAATACATACAACTTCTATTCCAGTTTTAAAATAATTAAAATAACACTTATTTAATAAATAATATAAAAGTGCAATTTATGTTGGCAAATAAATAAAGATTTAAACATGTAAATAACTCACCAAGTTGACAACTAACGTTAACTCTTTTACCGTTGGTTTCTGAGGTCAGAAACCTCTGTATAAAATATTTCGTCATCTGTCATTATCTTTGACAAAACAGAGATAAAAATATATATTAAACGGGGATTTTGGTCTCAGAAAACAACACTTACTTAGTTACTTACTAGTAAGACTTACAATAACCTTTTTTGAAGTTAATATTCGATCTAATAAGAGTATGATTGAGTGGTATACAATGACGAATGAATCGATTTGGAAGACTGAGAACTTGTGACCCTACACAGAGTGAAAAGATAGAAAGATGACATGTCTTATAATAATATTGTGGAAAGCATTAAACCTAACTTTTGACTTAATATAGAGAATTAAAAAGAAATTATTTACTATTATCTGTCGCTCGCGACTCCGTCCGCGTGAAATAAAAAAAAATGATTAGTTCCCGACATTTATTCGATTTTTTTAGCCGTAAACATCTTTAAACTTCAAGGAACGTTTAAAAAAAAGAATTGGCCAAATTGGTCAAGGCGTTGTTGATTTCTGCGTTTACATTTTGCGATTCATTTTAATATTATACATTATTAGCTTAATATATTTACTTGTAGCAGAAAATATTTAGTTTTTAAATTATTACGCGACACGTTTTTTTTCACGCATCGTATTTTAAAACTGGAATAGATAGCTTGGAAAATATCAAAATTGGTGTTATATAACTATATAATTCTTGTGTACACAAAATATATCGTTTGAAAATATATACATAATAAATAAAAATAAAATTTAAATATTTACAAAATGTAACCGAATACCAGTATTATAAATAATATTGCAAAATTAATTGACGATTTTCTTAATATTAAGAAAAAATATTCGAAATAAAAAAAATATTCAAAAAAATGCAATAAAATATATGGACATTATTATTTTTATGTGATAAATATACAGAGATTTATTTTATAGGTATTTATTTTGTCAAACAAAAGTTATTTTAAATGTGAAATTGCTAAATTGCATAAAAATTCCCGGAAAAGATGTGTGAAGAAAAATAAAATTATTTTAAATACGTGTGCAATGTTTTATTTATTTTATTAATTTGCTATTTAAATTTTAATTTGCCTGATTTAAAATTGTGTTTAAGAATGTAACATTCTAAATTTAAAAAAAATTAATTATTACGCAATAATTATTTATTTATTTAAAAATTTATTTATTAACTAATTTATTAATAAAATACTTCACTATAATATTGGTCTTTACTAAAATGTTAACACTATAAATAGAGATGATTCGAACAATATTACTAGAAACATGCAAAAATTTGAAATACTTACAAGAATGAGCAATTTTTCAATGATCATTTACAAAGTACTAGATTTAAATTTGTAACTGAGCGTTTACACTGACGAAACATGTACAACATTTTCTTGTACAAGTTTAACGACCGTGAAAACTGAAGGTTACATTTTCACTTAAATTTAACAGACTACTCGAAAAGTCTAATTTAACATCGTATTTTCAAAAATTTCTTGGTGTTTTTATTATTGCATAATTTCGTAACTTGTTAAAAATAAAAGCTTTTGAAATAAAACAATATTATTTCGTAAATCAAATAAAAAAAACCTGGTACACTTATAAAAAGGCACTGTTACTACGGCGGGTGAAATGTAAATAAGGTTAACACTTTAACTGCCGCCGCACTTAAAGTCATTGGTCAATATGGGCGTCATTTTTAGACTGTCAGTGCAGCAATTAGCAACTTAGACATATAAAACAAGGCAAAGAATCAATAAAAAAAAGTTTTTTTTACATATATCTTACTTTACAAGGAAACAAAATAAACTTTGGAAGGTTAATTTGTGGTTTTAAATAAATATACAACTAAAAGAAGGCGTTTGAGATGTGTTACATAAATCACATGATCGCTAAGATTCCATTACCTAAACACGTACTAAAACATTCGTTTTGAAAAAACTTAGATTTTGAATGTTTATGTACTGGTGTTTAGGCATTTAAAAGTCATGTTTACATCAAGTATATATGTATTATGTAACGCCTTATAAGTTACTACTAAGATCACAAAGTTCATTGACTATATAACTACGTGTAGCTTAAACCATTGTCCTATATACGACAAATATTACGACACAACGCGATTCGACATAATCCAAGAATAAGTCTCATTCCAAAGGAATGCTTAAATTTTGCAAATATTCCAACGTCAAATTTCATTACAACATGAAATTGTGAATTTAGAATTTATGACTTTTGACGTCTAATGTAACATGTTACATGTAACATTCGACGTCAAATATACTAACATGTGCCATGTTTTTTTTTACAAAAACGCTTTTGGAGGACAAGGTACAGACGCGTAATGTCGTATCGCGTTGTTGGATATCGCTAGTTGTCGTGTTAGGACAATATAAAGAAGATTCATCTCAAGTATAGTTACACTATAAACGTCAGACCTTTGAAGCATTCGTTTCTCTAATTGGAATTTACATTGGAAGTTCATAATCTTCTTAAAGATTTAAATAGCTAAACAAAAGCTCTTTTCTATCAACTAGAGCTATTAATTTAAATTATTTATCACAAAGATGGGTTCTTCTTTGGTAAGGTAAATGTTAAAAATTTTAGAGATATGGATGTGTTGTACTACTGTTTTGTTTTCTTATGTCCGTCGATTTCTATGTCAACTGTCCGTGTCACCTGGAATACGATTAACAATAAAGTAACAGAAATGATTACTTTAGTAGGTAGTCCCCTTTTCTTATCTTTGATCACTGTCTCCCACTTCCCAAAAGACACGTAACTCTTGAATTATTTTATGGATCAGTCGTTCGTTTATCGTCTGCTGTAATTAAAGATAACAATTCTTTAGTATTACCTCACCAAGTGTAGAGCTCCTCATCTTTCCACGTATCTCAGTCAAGGTTACCACCGTTCCTGAGGCCCGCCTTGGTCTCTGGTGGTACTTGCTTGCGGAAGCAGTCGTCCAGGAAGGAAGACATCGTGCGGTACAAGTGTCGCTTCACACCTCGCAGGCTGTGTCCCTCGTCCGGATAAATCTAGACATATCACACGGCCTAAGGTAAAGATCTGGGTAAAATTTAAGTTTTTTAACGATGCCAAAAGAGCTCGTAGCTTGAGCTGGAATATGGTTCACAAAAGTCGAATGATGAGATTGAGTAGTTGTCACCTGCTGGCGGAACATGCTGCCCTGGTCTGCGAGCGCGCGTGCAAGCGCCATGGTCTGCTGCACGTGCACGATGTCATCAGCTGCTCCGTGCACCAGCAGCAGCATCTTGTCGTGCAGCGCCGCCGCCTGCTTCGTCACGTCGGCGTCAGCGTACCCCCGGTAGTTGCCGGTCGCGTTCGGGAAACCCATGTACCGTTCCGCGTAAGCAGACGCTAACAAATGACATGAGTGTACTTAGTATCACGTCTTCAACTTGATAATACTTCTAAGGCCATGATGATGATGAGACACGTATATTGAGGTCTTCGTTAGCGTTGTTCTACTCACCATAATATCGCCAACGCACTATGGGTGTTAGTATAACACCACAATGGAAGACATTCAGTGGACTGGCGAGCGCCAGTGCCGCCAGGAAGCCGCCGTGCGCCTGACCCCACACCGCCACGCGTCGCGCGTCAATGAAGTGCAGCGAGTCTCGCAGGTACCTGAGGTATAAGATTGCCGTGCATTTTCGTGGAGGCCTCTATGACTAGCAGGTTGGTATAGGCTGATGATGATTATGATGATGTAAAGTTAAGTAATTTTGTGTTCTTCGTAAGTTGCATCAATGTTGTTCTTACTCTGCGACCTCCAGTTGATCAGCAAGCTCCACAGTACCAAGTCGGCGATGCAAGCTGTGGTGTGCAGCGAGGCCGCGGCCGCCAGCTCCGCGCGCGTCCACAGCGGCCACCACAGCGCCGGCTCCTGCAGCCAGCCAGCCCCAGTCCAGCGCCCACTGCTCCGTCACTAGTTGACTTCCTGGCGCACCATGTCTATACCCAATATACAGGGTGATCAAATCCGATGTTGATATCTTTCAGCAAAATGTACCCTTGAAACCCTTATGTGTGATCCTAATAAATATTTCTAGTAAAATTAATAAGTTTTCTTTGGTATGAGTGTGCAAAAAGGCGTCCGATTACTAAGTAGAAAGTCATAAGAGTAATTTTAAGCTTTTAAAAAAGCACTTTCATGTTGCTAAAAACATTTCCGAGGTTGTTTATCTTTTTAATTACTTTTTCCACTATTTCATTTCTTTTATAAATTTCAAAGCGCATTTTTAATTTCATATGAATGTTGAATGCAAATTAAAGTCAACTGTTTTATTTCCTTCTTTAGAACAACTTTTAATAGAACAAGTTTGAGAAATTCAACTATAAAAATAAGGTACGATTATAAACGATACAGCACAAAAATATTTAACTAAGTAACTACTTTCTTTTGTTATTGGTGCTTTATTATGGCACGGCCAAATAAAATTAATTTTAATGAACTCGCTCCAAAAATCTTTAATTTTGAAAAGAATTTATTAGAAAAATTAAAGAATTTCTGACTTACACTTTAAGAACTAATGGATACTTGGTGACCTCGTCCTCCCTGAGTCCTGGCGGCAGCAGCAGGCGCACTCTCGCCGCGTGTCCACTCGACAGCTGCACTGAGAACGTGCGGGGAGTCGGCAGCGCTATACCTGACAGACGCTCCTACACATAAAAATACCATTTATAGGAAGATTAGCTGTCGTCTGCGACTCTATTCGCGTGGAATTAAAAAATACATAATTAGTAGCCTACATGTCCTTCCAGGTTATGTTCATCTATGCCAAACATAAGCTAGATCCATGCAGCCGTTCTCGTGATACGTTCTAACAAACATCCATCCAAGCATTCGCAATTATAATATTAGCAAAAAGTACTTCCTTATTCATAGCAGATGAAGAATACATAATATAATATATACCAATAAAACATATCGTCATCTCTGTCATTATCTTTGACAAAACAGAGATAGCATTATGTTTTAAACTGGAGTTTTGGTCTCAGACACTCACAGTGAGTGCAACAGTACCTTAACAGCAGTATTATTCTGAAGATGCATGAGCAGACGAGGCTCAGGAAGGGCGATCCTGTGCAGGCTGGCTGTGGGTACGCCGGGGCCGAGACACTCCAGCACGAAGTACGCTGCGCTCGGACTGAAGTGCGCCTCGTGGTACAAGCACGGAGTATTCTGAGGAGGGACACCGTCTGTGGAGGGAAATCTTTATCAGTACAAATTGCAACAATACAGAGATTTCTTGATTCGGATAAAAGAGTTATAAGTGTGCTTTCTGGTTACTAATTTATTTTTTATTGGTTTAATCAATTTTAGTACAGTCAGCGTCATATAGATCGTCACAGACAAGATATGCAAATATATAGGTACATCAAAAGTAATCAATTATATCGGTACAACAAAAGTCCTCAAAATAATAGATACATTCACCCTGCTCAAAAACATCGGTACATACACAGCGTCAAATATATGAGTACATGCAAGATGCTCATAAATATCGTAGCAGCCACAGCGTCATAAGTAACGAAGCAGTCAAGGTGCGCAAAAATATCGGTACATTTGACAAAATTGAACTCTATCTTTATATATTTGTGATACAATTTGGAATAAACTACTTCTGTTACATTCATTTGACACTTTGTATTAACATTATAGGTTGTCCGGAAAGTTCGTTCTGATTTTCGATATAAAGCTTACAATAGACTGTAGCTGAAGTGGATTCATTTTCGGATTTCCACCATTATCAAACGTCACAAAAATTTCTATATTGTGAATAATTTCATTTCACTTTTGTTGTACCGATATAATTGATTACTTTTGATGTACCTATTTATTTGCATATCTTGTCTGTTACGATCTATATGACGCTGACTGTACATTCGAATCAAAGAAATAAAAAGTGAAAAAAAAACAGAAAAAAATTGTATTAAAGCTTATGCTTATATTTTATAATAAAAATTAAAACTTATCTATAGAATTTTGATAATCAGCGTCATCAGGACAGGTACAGGAAGGTAAAACTAAAGATGGTTCTCCTAAAAAATAAAAAGCGAAAAAAAATAACTGTTGAAAGAAACAATAATATAATTCTGGCGGATAACTTTTTTGTTATACTATGTTTGTTACCAGGAAACTTTTTCTTCTTCTTCTTGGCGCTTGTAGGCGAGGTGGCGGGAAGTTCGTCCCAGTCCGCGTCCCAGGGACTCTCACCGGAGGAGGCCAGACTGCCGTAGTACTCCAAGTTGATGGACGGAGATGGCTAAACACAAATATTCTGCTTGCACGAATACGTTTAACACGTTCAGCACTATCCACTCGGTATGTGGATTCACTTTAATATGTGAATGAAGTATTGGCAGTGAATGTGTTAAATCATTCTTTAGTATTTGAACTTACCTACTATAATATAAGAAGTGAATTAATTGGATAGTAAAAATCTTAATAATATATTTTTATAATAATCTTTAAATCTTTAGGATATGATACACAATGTCAGTCTATAACTTTAGCTCGACAATTATTAACACTTACAATGCTATGAACTGGCCTGACGTGTACATTGTCCTACAAATAAATCGTAATACAAGTAAATATGTTAAAATGATTCCATACTTGTGAGTTGCAAGTGACGCAGTAAGGCAGCTTCTGCGGAGTACCAGGACGCGGCGCCTCCGCAGACACCCGGTACAGGTGCTGCTGTCCTGCCTTGCCTTCAGGTATGCCTAAGTAGTAACTAAAACAAGAAAAGAACTTATATTTCTTTGGTTAAAGACAAGATGTACTGTTATGTAATTTTTAAATAGCAGATAATTTAAAAATAAACAAATTGAATTTATTTCATTCTTCTGACACTTAGAAGAAGAATGCTTAATAAAAGTCTTCTTTTTTTTTAATTGAAGATATAGTGCTACAGATCAGAGTTTTTTGGGCAATAAAAATACATTAATATCTGTCGCCCGCGACTTCGTCTGCGGGGAATAAAAATAACTTAATTAGCTTATGTGTTCCAGACTATGTTCTACATCTATGACAAATTTCATCCAAATCAATGCAACATCCAAACATTCACATTTATAATATTAGTAAGATATATTTATAACTATTTCAGAAGCATTTAGATAAACTAGTAATTAAGTTGAACAAAAAATACAAACGAGGTACATTCCATTAAGCATCGTAATTCATGTCCTTTGTGCTCTGCGCCGCCATATTGTTAAATATTCCGTCTGATGTTAAAGGGAACAATGGCCCATTTACTGAATTATTAAATGACAAAGAAAGAAATTACGCAGCGTCTGCTACAACTATATGTATATTGTACGTTTATAATCTCTTCTCTAGAGACGTTATTTTATATTAAAAGTTTTCTGTATTCTAGAATTACCACAATTTTTGAAATCATGACAAATGTCAAAGAAAGCAAGTAACAGTCACACCCGAAAAGTTAGGGAACGTACCCATACTACGTGACCCGTTTAGGGGAGGGGGGGAGTTTTTAAAATACTACGGTCAGTCACAGGA